AGCCTCTTCAGCACAACACGGGCAAGTAGCTTCCCTACAATGCTGAGAAGAGAGATGCCATGCTAGTTATTGCAGTTGCCCCGTCTCCTTTGTTCTTGTACAATGTGACGATGTTTGCATCCTTCGTGTCCTGTGGTACTCCACCTTCACTCCAGCAAAGACAAAAGACTTCATACAGTTTGGTGTTAATGGTCTCTTTACAGCACTTCAGCACTTCAACAGGGATGTTATCCTTTCTGGGTGCCTTGCCAGAAGCGAGGGGATCCAAGGCCGCTTTTATTTCTGCGAAGGTTGGTTCGCTGTCCAACTCTTCCAAGACAGGCAGGCAGTCAATGTTATTTAATGCTTCTTCGGTTACTACATTCTCTCTAGAATATAGCTCAGAGTAGTGCTGCACCCAGCGGTCCATCTGCTGTGCTCGGTCCTGGATGATCATGCCTGTAGCAGACTTCAAGGGAGCAGATTTCTTCTGTATTGGACTAAAGACTGCTTGATACCATCATACATTCCTTTGATGTTACCTATGTCTACTGCTATCTGTATCTGAGAGCAGAGCTGAAGCCAATAATCGTTGGAACATCTCCTGGCAGCCTGTTGGACTTGGCTACGAGCAGCTCGAAGAGCTTGCAAGTTGTACTCACTAGGACAGGCTTTGTATGCTGCTAGAGTTCTCCTCTTATCCTCGATGGCTGGCATCAACTCCTCCGAATGGGCTTCGAACCAGTCGCCAGTCTTTTTGGTCTTCTTGCCAAATGAGGACAAGGCAGTGTTATACACAGTGTTATTGAAATGTTCCCATCGTTCAGGTGCACTTGCATCAGCCGGGCCTGGAAGGGTTTCCTCAAGCGCTTGGGCAAATTCCTTCACTTTTCTGGGATCGCTAGTCTTGCTGATGTCAATATGTGGTCTTCCTTCCTTTTTCATTTGATACAATCTCTTTGTTCTCAGTTTTACTGTACTACACACCAGGGAGTGATCAGTATCGCAATCAGCACTCTGGTAACTGCATGTGATCGTAATACTAGGAAGGCTAGAATGTCTACTGAGGATCAAATCCAGCTGATGCCAATGGCTGGATCTTGGATGTCTCCAGGAAACTCTGTGTTAAAGCTTTGTATTAAAGAACTGACAGAAATACCATAAGAACTGCAAAACTCCAGCAAGCGTTGGTCATTTTCATTCATCTTCCCAATGCCAAAATGGCCTAGACAAGTGGGCCAAGAATTGTGGTCAGCACCAACTCTAGTGTTAAAGTCTCAGAATGAGCAGTCGCTCTCTTTCAGGGACTTTTTTGATAGCAGCTGCCAGATCATCACAGAATTTGTCTTTCTCTTCTGTAGTGGCTGACAGTGTTGGTGCATATGCATTAATGAGGGTTACTGGTCCTGCTGATGAGTGGAGCTGTAGAGACAGGATTCTTTCACTCCCCACAGTAGGTGGAGCAATGGATCTCAGAAGAGTATTTCTGACTGCAAAGCCGACACCATATTCCCTGGTCTCATTCAATGATTTTCCATGCCAGAAGAATGAGAAGTTTTTTTTCTTTGACAGATCCTGAGTCTGGCAATCTTTTCTCTTGCAGGGCAACAATGCATCTGCAATCTACTCAGTTCCATTTCAATGATAGCTGTCTTGCGCACGTCGTCTATTTCTTGCAGGTCCTCAGGAAAGCCGTAGTCAGAAAAGCCAGGGGTCATTGTCCGTACATTCCAGGTGCCCAGCTTTAGGGCAGAAGTTTTCTTACGATTGTTGCATGGTGCAGGGTTATCAATCTGCTTGTCAGCTTTCACCCTAAACCCCACGCATCCCATGAGGTTAACAGACCGTGGCGAGGTACCACCTTACTGGCTGGGACCTGCCCAGCTTAAGGCGAGTGGTAACCACCTAGTGAGGTGCAATGATCTCTCCCACCATCAGAAGTAGCCCCTGGCATCATGCTCTACACCAATTGAGCAAAGACTTATAACCAGTAACTGCTACTTCCCATGTTGTTTCAACACTATATGTGAAGCTGGAGTGTCCTCTCCAATGCACGAAGCCTGGGTAACATAATATGGAGGACAGGCTGTTACCCAAGCAGCAAATCGCCCCTCTCCTCGTCGCTGAAATAGTCCCATGGAAAGGTAAGAGCCAATACAATTGGTTCAAATGATGTCGCAGGAGTTGGCAGAACGACATGAACTGCCTCCAGGACTCTGGCTCCAGAGTGTGCCTCGAGGTTAACTCCTGAAGCCTTTTCCATCAGTGGATATAGCCACAAAGCAGTGGAGGTTTGAAATTGGAGTTTTCGTTCTCCTAGATGGGCTCTGTTCCAAGGCTGACGAGCCCCACCTACCCAGCCTGTTCTCTAATAGTGCGGAAGTATGATCCAACCCTTAAAGGTTTCCTACCCCAGGTGTATGCAATGCTAATTGGCTTTCCTATTTACCAAATTAGGGTCAAAAATACAATCAGAGAATTTCTACCCAAACATACATGTCCTAGCTTCTTCTTCAAGAAAGGGGCTTGAAGAACATCGTCACATTGTGCAAGAACAAAGGAGACAGAGCGACTGCAATAACTACCATTGCATCTCTTTTCTCAGCATTGTAGGGAAGCTGCTTGCCCGTGTTGTGCTGAAGAAGCTCCAATACCCTTTCTTGAAGAAGAAGCTAGGGTATGTTTGGGTAGACATTTTGGTGAGCTATTTTTTCTAGGCTGACCTTTGTTTTCCCTGACCGCATGGTCTGAGGGGGCGGGATTTCATCTTTAAAGGAGGGTGAGCAGAAGCTTCTACCCTACACTCTCCCAATTCTTCATAAAAGGTTTTTCTCTCATAAACCACTCCCATAATCATGTAGTGGGGACAGGGGGTGATTTTTCTAGGGTTTTGCCCTCCCTTGAGCTGAGGAGCCATTTTCCAAAGCTGACAGTGACCAGAAGTAATAGTCCTCCTTGCATCTACAAAACTAACACAACAGGGAGATAAGTATGGGAGGACTTTCGTCTTTCCCTACAGACTTTGTCAGTGCAGAATATGCTTTACATGAAGGAGCTTTCTGACATGCTATTCCCCCACCACCCCATTTTAAAGTGGCTCACCCCAGAAAGAGTTCTAATATATTGTGGCTCCTTTCCTTCTGTCACCATAGCGTTTGCTTTAATTAAAATGTTCCTGGACTGAAAATTTCCTACAAGTGAGAACTGCTATCTGTCTGTCTGTCTGTCTACCACCCCATTCGTGCAATGCACTCTTCTGAGCCATAATAAAATTAATACATATAATAATAAACATATAAATGAATAGTGGGATGAGTTATAACAGTCAAAAAATTAAAATCAATGGCACCAAAAGCACATGATCTCTGTGAGAGCAGAGCAAGAGGCATGACATCAAGCCAAGTCATTGTGGAAGGCCTCCCCAAAAGAGCAGTGTTTTGAGCTGCCTCCTAAACATTAGAAAACATGGAAATTAATGCAAAGAATTATAATCTTCTTTGCAGCTTTCTGATCTGTCCTTCCAAATGAGATATCCAAAATCTCAATAATCATTTCTTAAATATATGTCTCCCTCCTGGCCTTATTATTTTGACTCCCTGAGCTTTAGGCAAACACCCAATGTTTAGGCTTCTTCTTCCATTTAATTATTTCTAAAAACAAAAACAAAAATACCCAAACAAACTGGTTTTTAGTAACCTCTAAGTAGTATCTTATTTCTTAGTATCCTAGTGAGAAGATACTTATTTACTGGGAAAGGGATCAACATTGGGGGAAGCTTAAGTTGTAATTAGTGGTTTTTGCTCCTGATGGTGGTTTTCTTGTGATTTCCCTTTGAAGCTATTTCCAGCAAGGCATACATGCCAATAAAGGTATATTGCAGTGAAGAAATCAGAAGCCTGAAAAAGATTCTCTCCTGATAAACAGATGGGTGGCGTTGGGCTCAAAGTGTTCCAGCTTCTGGCCTGGAAAAGAGGGCTTGCCTTGCCTGTAGGCTGGATGTATTACCATGGCACTCTTTCAGGGCCTGCAGGACTGGACCTAGAAGTGCAGGCAACATAAAAACCTAGTGGATTATGCAATTATTTACAGAGAACCACAGGGGATGGGTCGGTCAGATATTTTTTACAAGGAAAACTTAGCACTGTTGTGCAGATTTTTAGAGGCGTTTGCAAAGCTTGTCCCACAGCTATGATAATCGTAGTTGGTAGGAATGATATTTGAGAGCAATAAACTGTAGAGGAGCAGGAAGAGCTCTTTGAGAACAAAAGGAATGATGCAGGCGAAGGAAGAGAGAAAGCATGTTGGTTTATTGCAAGGCTTTTTGCACATGAACAAGTCTTCATTTTGATTTGGTTTGTAGAATTATCAAAGCCCTTTTACACATAGGCTTCTGTAGTCAGGCAGCCCTTCCCCTAACTGTAACATATCTTTTAAGTTAGGGTATAATGACAGCATGGTGGTGGTGCTGCGGGCTAAACCACAGAAACCTTTGTGTGCTGCAGGGTCAGAAGACCCGCAGTTGTAAGATCGAATCCACATGATGGAGTGAGCTCCCGTCACTTTGTCGAAGCTCCTCGCCAATCTAGCAGTTCGAAAGCATGCAAATGCGAGTAGATAAATAGGTACCTCCTCAGTGGGAAGGTAAACAGTGTTCCGTGTATAGCTGTGCTGGCCACGTGACAACGGAAACTGTCTTCGGACAAACGCTGGCTCTACGGCTTGGAAATGGGGATGAGCACTTACCCCCTAGAGTCATACACAACTGACTAAATGTCAAGGGGAACCTTTACCTATAATGACAGCATAAATGCAAATCTAAAGAAGAGGAGTTTAAAAAATCTCAGTGTGTTGCCAAATGTACACAGTAAGTACAGGTTTCTTTTGTACAGGCTAGTTCACTTAGATTATGGAGTGAGGTCACTTTGTCGAAGCTCCTCGCCAATCTAGCAGTTCGAAAGCATGCAAATGCGAGTAGATAAATAGGTACCTCCTCAGTGGGAAGGTAAACAGTGTTCCGTGTATAGCTGTGCTGGCCACGTGACAACGGAAACTGTCTTCGGACAAACGCTGGCTCTACGGCTTGGAAACGGGGATAAGCATTGCCCCCTAGAGTCAGACACGACTGACTAAATGTCAAGGGGAACCTTTACCTATAATGACAGCATAAATGCAAATCTAAAGAAGAGGAGTTTAAAAAATCTCAGTGTGTTGCCAAATGTACACAGTAAGTACAGGTTTCTTTTGTACAGGCTAGTTCACTCAGATTCCCATCTTTCTGTCATGCACTTTCTTATTGGATCACAAATTATTGCTTTTTTCGGGTCCACATAAAAAATTATATATACCTTTTCCCTGTGCCTTTCTCAAAATACACACATTTTTGTGTGTATTTTAATGCACACATTTGTGTGTTCACTGATTCAGATAAATTTATGAAGCATTTTTGCACATTTCCCAAAGTATATGCAATTTCTGCTCACTGTTTCAAATATACATGTATCTGTGTGCTCCACTCCCAAATCTATATATTTTAATATTTTTTTTTCAAATTGCATTGAATACCTTGGGAAAGTATGGATTTCAAAGTCTCGCTGCATTCCAGTTCAGGAGGTTGGTATTTGGCACTTTCACACCGAAATGCATAAACTGTCTTCGGACAAACGCTGGCTCTACGGCTTGGAAATGGGGATGAGCACTTACCCCCTAGAGTCATACACAACTGACTAAATGTCAAGGGGAACCTTTACCTATAATGACAGCATAAATGCAAATCTAAAGAAGAGGAGTTTAAAAAATCTCAGTGTGTTGCCAAATGTACACAGTAAGTACAGGTTTCTTTTGTACAGGCTAGTTCACTTAGATTCCCATCTTTCTGTCATGCATTTTCTCATTGGATCACAAATTATTGCTTTTTTCGGGTCCACATAAAAAATTATATATACCTTGTCCCTGTGCCTTTCTCAAAATACACACATTTTTGTGTGTATTTTAATGCACACATTTGTGTGTTCACTGATTCAGATAAATTTATGAAGCATTTTTGCACATTTCCCAAAGTATATGCAATTTCTGCTCACTGTTTCAAATATACGTGTATCTGTGTGCTCCACTCCCCAAATCTATACATTTTAATATATTTTTTTCCAAACTGCATTGAATACCTTGGGTAAGTATGGATTTCAAGGTCTCGCTGAATTCCAGTTCAGGAGGTAGGTATTTGGCACTTTCACACCGAAATGCATACTGAACTAACTTCTCACCCTTCCCTAAGTCTGGAGTAGTTTGATGATTCCTCTACTGCCCCTGAGCCCACTGTTGTTATTTTTAAAATCTCTGTTCCAGAACCAATTCCAATCCACATTTGATGCAAACGTGATAAGGAATTATCATGTCAGCAAAGTACAGTGAAAGAACAACAGCTTAGAGGACACCATACATGACAAACCTGCCTAAAAATAACTGTGAAACTACAAACTATTTTGTACATTTCTGTTAATCCATTCATGTTCTATTTCTTCACAGTTGCATGGATTTACTACCAAATACTGTATATAAATGACAGGAAGCTGGGTGGAGTCCCTGATAAGCATACTTGGATGATACATGTGATTGTAAAGACGTATGTGTAACAACCATAATTAATACTGTATTTGTAGGTGTACGCTTGTTGGATGTGGAGCAGCTATTTGTTCTAGTGCGTATTTATGACATCACTCTGTAAATCTCAGGTACTTTGTACTGTAGCTCAGTCTGCAGTGGCAAAAATTAGTACCAGATGAACTTTCTTTTAATTTCTTCTTGGAATGGACTCAGCTAAAATCGATTCTTTACCCAAATTCTCTCCAAGCCCAATTCTAAAATATACACTTAGTTGCAGAGATGGGAAAGTTAACGTGAAAGTATTGCCTTAAAATTAATCAGTAATAAGATTAAAAATCTAATTACATTTACACTGAAAGAGAAATGTTTTTATTAGTTGAGTTATAAATTGGCACTTACATTTACATTGTATTTCTGCGCTACAAGCCTTATCAGAATGAAGATGAAAAAAATTGGTAATTTTACCTCTTTTAGTCTTCAGATATTAATTTCCAAATCAAGCTCAGGATTTTCCAAATGAATCTCCACATCTGTTACTTAATTGGAATTTGGATGGATATGTATCTGCTTCTTTTTACTATTGTTAGTATTTGCATTTATACCCACCTTTTCACCAGTGTGTTAAAACAGTGTAAATGGCTGTCTTCTGCCCCACTTAACCCTCCCAATCACCCTGGAAAGAAGGTCAGATTGAGAGCAAAGGACTAGCCCAAGGTCACCTGGTGAGCTTCATAACTGTGGATCTCTTGGCACACATAATCCCTGAGCAATCTGTAAAGCAACCTCCCAGACTCTGCCCCCTGCAGCTTCCCTGATTTAGGAAAGAATAACATCATAATGCTCATACTTAATTCTGGAGGGGCAAAAACACACACACAAAAACTCCAAAACACTTCATTTAAAAATAAAATCAAAATAAATCAAAATAAAATCAAAATAAATCAAAATAAAATCAAAATAAATCAAAATAAAATCAGTTGCCCTTTTCAGTTAGCAGATTTTCAACTTAATTGACTTCAATAGCTTAGTCCAAGTCATTGCTCTGTTGCAGTCCGGTTTGCATTGCCTTAGAAACTCCTGAACGTGTCCCCCCATGTCCTTCCCTTTCCCCAGCAACCACAACAGGAGACCCACCCACCCTATTCTGCCCCTCAGTTAGAACATTGAGGTGGCAGACACTCAAGTTCCAGGACATTTCTGGTTCACATACTTGGGTTTCCCTGAGAAGTCGGCGCCAATGGTTTGGGAATCACATCTTCCTTAGAGCTTAAACCTGGAAAAATCAATAATCCATTCAATTATTGTATGCAGCATGACACAAGTTGATGAAAACACCCCATGCAAAAATAAGGGATGCACATCTTATATATGATGTATGAGATGCTGGAATAGTTAACTAGCTTGCAGGACTGTACAATTAATAGATGCCATGTCCATCAGTGTTCATTATTCACAGTAAATGGAAACACCCCTCACCCCAACTTCATAGGTAACATTCCTATAATAACCAGATGCTGGGGAAAAATGACTCTTTAAGATCCTAGAGACAACCGGTTGGCCTCTGTGGCTACACTATACAATCATAGGAGTCTGATCCTTTGTTGTAGTTCAGGGGAATGGATTACAGCTCTGTGGCATAGAATTCTAAATCTCCTGCCAGATTACAAATCCCAGCATTCTGTAAAACAGAGCCATGGTAGTTAAAGTGGAATCAAATTGTGAAGTGTATGCCTCAAAGTCTGATGCCATTTGAATCCATGGCTCCATCCTATGGAATCTCCAGATTCATCACATGGTGAAGCACTGGGAATTCTCTCCTGGAAAGCTCTTAGACAGCCCTCAGCCCAGAGCAGCCCCCTGCACATTCACACCCAGCACTGTAATCCCATGATCCACAATGCTGAGATGACATATGCACTAGCACTTCCCATGTGCCCATGGGAACTCACCTATACTGTAGCTGTTCCTTGTGCACTACTCGCTAGACCTATTTACCACATTCCACTGAAGCCAACCCAAGCTCTGACTATACACCAGTGTGGGATGGGCGAAAAACATTTTTGCCAATATGCCAATCAGATAGAATTGGGGGGGGGATCCTATTTGGCCCTGTACAGTGACCACTTAAACTCACAATGGGATCCGAGGGCAGGTGGGTGGGATGCACACCTTGAAAAAGAGGCAGTTCAGCAGGTGGGGCAGCTTTAAATACTGCCCCAATCTCCACCCAATCGGACCACTGGGGACAACCAGCCCCTGCACTTTGCCCCATTATATTTGGGGGGGGAGAAATGGGGGGCCCTAATGGTGCATTGCACACCCACAAAGCTAAGGCATGTCAGTGTAAAAACATAACAGGATTTGGGCCACTGAGTTTTAATCCAGAGATTAACTAACATTATAATTGATTCCTCTCCTGATCAACATTCACTGTCCTAATGGTTGTTGTGGGTTTTTCGGGCTCTTTGGCCGTGCTCTGAAGGTTGTTCTTCCTAACGTTTCACCAGTCTCTGTGGCCAGCATCTGCCTGCATAAGTAATTTGTAAACCGCCCAGAGAGTGCTTGAAGCACTATGGGGTGGTATATAAGCAGCCCACTTTGCTTTTTGCTTTTGGCCATCAGATCCTGGCCGAGAAAGCCTCCAAGAATACATTCATTGCTCTGTTTCTTTGAGTGGTTCATAGCTTGTAAAATACAAAAAGGCTCAGCATCATTGCTTTCAATTATCATATTCATGGCTGGGAGCACTGCTGAACTTCACAGCAGAGCAAATAATGCCAAGAAGGTCTACGTGATGTTCCATGCTGTTTATGTAACATCAGCTGGGGAACCACACTATACCTCTCCTACATCTGAACAACCCTTTTATTATGAAACCTGGCCATCATCGGGTATTTGGTGCCCATGAGTGTAAGGATAATAAGTACTAGATTCAGGTTTAAAATTGAATTGTTATGGTTTTAATAGTGTATATACAAATTGTACATATTTAAATTTGCAGATAATTTGGCTTAGTTTATGAAATATAGATTAAGTGTATTATAAATTGCTTTGTGAAAGCTTGAAGAGTAGGGTAGAAATACGCAAAACAAAGAAATAAGAATAAAAAGACCACCTACTGCGCATTGCTCAGAGCTAATTGAAAATGCAGTCACTTCCAATGTATTCTAAAAAGTTCCCAGGCTTGTTTTAAAAGTGTATTGTCAGTCATGGGAATATCAGCTCACTGCCATAGTACTTCACTGAAAGCTAATTAAGTTTTTTCGCCACCAGATTGTCACAGCTGTCCAGACTCATTAGCTATCCATTCAGGCAAGAGTTGTTTCGTTAAAACAAAAAAATAATTCTTTTTGAAGTGATGGTCTGCATACATCAAAATTCATGAGTGGACTACCTTTTCACTACATTTTTTTGGAAAACACTCCACTTCTCCATGCTCAATATGCTCTAGAATGAGTAATTATATCTGAAAATAGATATTCAGATGCCTCTCTAAAGCTTGCTGTGTTCACTTTCTTTTGATGTTGATTTCCTAAATTTTTCTACTGTGCTGAGATCCTACTTGGAACCTTTTGAAACTTGTCTGACATAAATTCATTGATGCTCATGCATGCACAGCCTTACACAACCTTCCCTCCCACTGGTCAGACAGAAAAGGAGGAAGAATTACAAAAATGTGACAGGACGAGAAGTAAGTTCACACACAGAGAGATACTGCAGCATCATGCAACAACTTACTTTTGTTCAACAACCACTGAAAGAGAGGGACCTTGTTGGACCAGCTCATGTCACTTGAACATCAGTCATTAAAGTAAACAATTTTAATGGTGACCCACAAGTGCTTGTGTTTTGACTGATTGAACATTGTGTATTCATGAGATAATCAGTCCAAATTAACGTTAGGTGTTACAGGTTGTGTGCTTGGTGTTTTGTTTTTTCATACTTGGGAGAATTTGGTGGCCTGCCGGAGCTGAAGAGAAATACCTGTCTCTCACATACAGACAATGTGCAAAATATGACAGGGGAAAGCTGGCTTCAGGCTTGTGAGATCTATTGGTGGAATCTACCATTAGCACCCTGAGATCCATCAGCAGGACCCTGCTGCAAATTAACAGCTCAGGAAAGTAGTCACAGAACTGAAAACAAAGTGCTTCGAAGCACATAAGCAGCCCAGGGTTCCAGTAACTAGAACAGGCCCCCTTTCCTTTCCTCTGCAAGCTATCTTGATTTCAGCAGCCTCATAACAGAGGAGACAGAGGAAGCCCTTTTAGTGAGGAAAGGCCCTCTGATGTTCTGTTGCTGGGCTTCCTGTGAGCAACTGCTTTGCTACTGTATGAACAGATATGCCTTATCCAGCGCAGCCATTTAAAGTTAAACTACAGTACTGACAGATGGATCTGTTTATATACTGCAGTACTTCTGGGCTTACGTATCGGTTGGGCCCACTCTGATTTCTGTTCAGTCTCTTTTACAGGATAGACCAGGCATTTCACTACAACCTGTTAAGAGACAAGCCACACAATCTACAGGAACATTGTGATGAAGCTGTTTTTGAACTGAGATGGTATTTTTCTCTCAACAATGCTACTTTATATCACAGATTCAGTTCCCCCACACATTCAAATGTGTACAATCCTGCAGAAAATGTTTCATGTTGGCACCATTCTTAACCATCCTATGTTTTTCAGTTTTCTACAAAGGGAACTTTTTAACCTTATTATAAGTGAAGCTCTAAATATGAAAGCAGATTGCCACTCTTGTCATACCTTACTAGAGGCCATAATCTAAAATGTTCCTAAACCCTCAATCCTATTAGCACCCTGCTAATTACAAGTGGTTGTATCAGGCTTAGGATCAAGATTAAAAGGGGGAAATTTTCAAGAAAAACCTGCAAGGCGGGTTTCCTGCATATGCCATATGACTGTCTTCCACATTATAGTGGCCTCATAATTTCTTCCCAGAGTTTTGGTAGTTGCAAGATTTCTTACCTGTGTCAAAAAGGCTTGATCCTGGTTTCCACAAGTCTGTTTCCATAGCTTTCAGACACAAGAGACAAAAACTGTGATTATTTCATGTCACAAAGAAATCTGATGTGAACAGAACAAACAGTATATCTTAACGAAAAAAAAACCTTTGTAAAATACATTGCAGTCCTTTACCTGGGTTAAACATTAAATGGGTGGGTTGAGGTGTTGGGTTAGGCAAGAGGATTTTGGGCACTGTTTGTTTGCTATGTACACACACACACGCACACACACACGCACAGAGAGAGAGAGAGAGAGAGAGAGAGAGAGAGAGAGATCATATATACACAAAAGTAGAATAGAAAACCAAAGCATTGTGGGCCCTTGAAGTCTAACAGATTTATTTCAGTGTAGAATGAGGAACACTCACGCTGAAATGAATCCCTTAGTCTTAAAAAAAGTCCCAATATTTTTGTTTTTGTTTCATTTTTTTGTCATATGTACAAGACAAAAAGGGTTCCAAAGAGAAGTGACACAGTGCCAGTTACTGTATACAGAACAACTGTTCCTATCACTTTTGGCCAGCCAACCCTTAGCTGAGAGCCAGAGTGGTCAGTGGATAATGGGACAAGGAATCAGGAACCTGGGTTCAAACCTCTGAGTGCGCAACAACGCAGCTCTTATTTATCCATTCTCTTCTCCTGACCTTTTCCCAAAGAATGACCAGGTACATCTGGGATGCGCCCATGTGTGTGCGTGCACACAATGTTACATGTGGGGGGAGGACTTCTGTGCCACATAATCAATCCAAAAGACAAGGGTTTTTTCTAGAAAGTACGGAGTTCAGGCTGCAATGTGGTCCCATGGAAAGGAAGCACATTTAGTAATGAGGTACAAAAAACGCTTAAAGAAACGCAACAGATGAGATCAGGGATAAAGTAATGGGCAAATTGATGAACAAGGTCATTTATTTCCTTGCATGTTTTGGAGCTGACAAGAGGAAAAATTATGGGGTGTATCTGACTACATAATTGCACTTAGCAAGTTCCTGAAGCAAACTCTGAATGGAAAGTACATCAATGAATGGCAGGAGGAGAAGGATAACCTTACTGGCGGTGGATAGGATAATTAATGCAAACATTGCAAGTGAGAAAAGAGCAAGAGGCTATGAAGTTCAAAATTTTGAATATTGGACAACTACAAACTGTTCTTCTCTATTATGTGGGAAATTTACTGTAAGAAATTCTCCTATACAGTTTCAACATAAGGAGGCTAGTGTATAAAAATCCTTCAAGGTGCCCAGGTCTTGGTAGTCCCTCTGCACAAGCAAGAAGGGACAGGTCATCCATATAAGGACACAGCAGTCAGCTCTACATTTAGAAACAAAGCTCCCTCCATTACCAAACAACATCTATTTGTCCTAACATGAGCTTTAATCACATATGCATTTCTCACATTAACTTGCTTTGTTTTATGATAGGTTGTCAGGAGGTAAACACAGGCAAGTCCATTGCTGGAGAACTACTCTGCCATCCACTTCTAATTGCTGACTGATGGTCTCATCTAGTTTGGCCTTCATCATCATACACTCTGAATAGCAGTGACTCTCTGGAATTCAAGATGAGTTTTCCCCCCACTGTCAGTACTTTGCATGATGAGATAAATGTCCGAACCCATAAGCACTTCAAGGCTCATTTTTGCCAACACTTCTCTTTAATTTTACAACCTGTTTTACAAAACATTTTTAGTTCTCAATGAGCAGGTGATTCCTTTATTATATCACTAAAAAGAATCAAGCAAACAACAGACAGCTAGCTTTTGACTATAACTGATCTTCAGGCTCTGCACCAAGTTATTGTGGGTAGTTCAGAAAATTACATACTTTTATTAAAGTCCCAAAGTTTCATGGCCATTGTTGGGGTCAAGTTAACTTCTTTAGATGGATACATCTAAAGAACTTGGTGCCCAACTTCAAGAATATCAGTAATCATCAAGAGCTAGCTGTCTGTTGTTTGCCTGATTTTTTTTAGTGGTCTAATAAAGGTATCACCTGCTCCTGCATTTGTATTGTTCTGGAAATCTCATGGCCCTTTCAAAAATTTTGTTTGATTGTAGTGGAACTCTTCTGGTTCCCAACACAACCCCAGAGGATATTCCAGGGAAGTTAAGATGGCAGCAGCCACCTCAGACAACAGTCGTTTTGGAAAAGCCCCTCCCTGGCTGAAATATATCTTACCCAGATTGGCAGGATTGCTAGCAGGCTTCCGGAACGTAGCACTTGGCTCGTGCCGCTGAAGACCTGTGAGAAATGTGAGTACAAACTGATGAGCTTCTAAGTAATAATCATGTCGTTCTATGCAAGCTACAATAGCTCATAGACAAGGCCTATGATAGGGAGGCAGAAGATATCTAATAAGATGTATGAATGTAGTTATATATATATGTATATAAATGTTTTAGTGCTTTTGGATTGATTTTATGTTTCTTAATTTAAATAATGTCGCTTACTTTTGCTGGTCAATGACCATGATAAAACATTTGTTATTGTTAAAAGGATGCTTGTTCGTACAAAGAAGTACAGTAGGCAGGGCTGCCCCAAGATATTCTGTTGCTTAAGAGAAAGGAAAAGCTCACATCTCTCTCATTCCACACACAAAAGCTGAGTGCACTGCCGGTGAAGCCTTTCTCCAACACCATGCCCTCTACTGTCCCTGAAGGCAGCAAGCTCGCTTAAGGGGTCATATGGGTACCCAGTCCTTTTCTCCAGTATCCTGTTGCCGTTCCCTTGCTCTTAAGCCTCCCTATAATGCAGGGATGAGCAGTGCTGCCCATCAGCAGCATGCCGTCTCCAGGGTCCTGACTTCTCTGACTCACCACACCCGCCAAAAGTTAGAATGGGTTTCTTACATTTTCCCCCCTCTTGACATGGCTCATTGTGCCCTCTCGAGATTTGGACTCCCCCCCCCCACAAGTATCAGGAGATTTTAAATTTTATTTTAAATTTTATTAATGGCAATAAGTATTTCAAGTTCCAAGGCCCCCGGGGTTCTGTTTAGAAATTGTATAATTAGATCAATTTTGTTTATTTTATAAGAAGTCCTCTGGTGATATAAATTGGTTATACATTTCATAACAAATACTTTGGCTAACATAGTTTCAACTCTGCAGTGTCTGAAAGTCAGTGACTTTAGAGAATGATAACTAGCAGACAGCTACAAAAGTACTTCAAAATTTGGAAGGAGAAAATGCAACCAAATTGAACTACTTTTATGTTCAGTGCTTATTTCTTTTAAAGAACATTTACTATGAACTAAGTAGTAGCCAAACTGGGATATTACTTCAGAATAAGAATGCTGAAGATGGGGTGTAGATGTTACTTCCAAAAGCCTGATCTGTGACAATTTTAAAAATTATATAAAGACTTTACCTGTATTGAGCCGAGGAGCATTTCTGTTACTTGCATAGCTGGAAGTGCCTTTGAATGCTTTAAAAATATTTTACTGATCAGTACATAAACTTGAACATATTTTTAATTAGAAAATCTGTTTAAACTGGATTAGTTTAAATTAGAACATACCTTGATTCTGGGTTCTTCCTTGTGCAGCCTGAACCTGCCCTATAGTATACATTAAAGGTGAGTATATTATTTGTACTTTTCATTGTTATTATTATAACTTATGTATATCTAAAATATAAGATTACTTTTATAGCTGGTGACTAGAGTTAAAGACACCTGTCCTAATCCCTTAATATTGTTATGAAGGACTTTTAACCCCACCCCACCCCAGTTACAATCATAATTAGTAAATTTGTTTATAAAATGGGCCTAGCCACACTAACAATTTCAGCTAAAATTAAACCAGATACAGCTATACCACAAAAGGAGTGAAATTATCCCTTGTTATATTGCACTCTCGGGATAATGCAATCAAGGCAGGGCAAACATAAATAAATAAATAAATAAATAAAGGCAGGATATAAATAAATAAATAAATAAATAAATAAATAAATAAATAAAGGAAGGAAGGAAGGAAGGAAGGAAGGAAGGAAGGAAGGAAATATTTGTAACTAGTTGTAACTGATTACTTCTAAATTCTTTTCTATGTAGTTTTTTCCTGGGCATTTGAAGCACTTCACCACAGCTGTTGATAATTTTAAGCCTATTCTGTTCTCTGAGCAATATTCTGGTTCTTTCCCAAATACATTTTCCAGGACTTATTTCTTATTAGCAAATGAAAATGCAAGCTAGAAAAAGTAGCGATCATCTGCTTTTTCCACTGTACCAAATGGAAAATTTGCAATAAGAAAATATTGACAAACTTTTTCTTGAATGCTACATCACCAGTGTATGGAGAGCCATGAGGGTGGAAAGATATCACACATAACATCCTGACTTTTGTTCAGGTTATTATTCTGGGAACAGCTTGTTTTGTTAAAGTGATAACATACTGACCTATTTGGAGCAAGAGTTCATTCTATTTGGTCCTCCTGCCCTTTGCTGAAGGGAGGTGTTGGCTATTGCTTCCTGACATGGATGAGATTTTCTGGACTACAATTACCACAGTTCTCCATTCTGGGAGTTCTACCTTTGCCACAGTTCTCCATTCTGGGAGTTCTACCTACCTTTCTGACACCTTGCAAAGCCTCAATGTGAAGGGCCAATTTGAAGGGCTTTGAGGTTCAGCTAGGCCTACCTCTACCCATGCTTTGTCTTTAGAAAGTTCTCAGCTAGGACCCTGGCAGGAGGATGAAGCTTGGCCTAGCTAAGCCTCAAAGCCATCCAGTTTAGGACTTTTCTCCCAGGTGCAGCACACTGAGGTTTTGAAGCGGTCTGTAGGGTATGCAGAACTCCCTGAATGAAAACAATGCCAATATCCCAGCCCTGTTCCTTCCTGCCAGTTTCTCAAAGTTCATAAAGGAGGGGATACTCTCAAAAGGAATATAAAATCCCAAAGTTCATCTTTTGGTTCTGTTTTTACTTGAGATAGGAATGGTGTGCTACAGCTCAGGACTTCGAGAATACCCTTTTAGAAATGGTGTCAGAGACCTACTGAGAACCTTGATGTCATAAGACAGTATGCTTGTTTCTGTAGCATTTTTCATCCACTGAGTCTTTTAAGACTGATAACTGGTTTCTCCCTGGTATAACTGAACTTTGAAATTTGGGGTTTCATCTGGAAAAGATCCCCCTCCACTCTGATTACAGTATTTGGGAGCCTAACACATATTGCAAGATGTTCGAATGTCCTCACTACAGTCTTGTGTAGCAAGGAATAATTTCATTATTTCCTCGTTTGTGAAAGGGACAGTCACCTGAAGAGAGTCCTACAGTTGTGGCTCCTGATCATGTATACACAGATGTAAGCCAACTGATTTCAGTAGGACTTGGCTTAGATAATTCCACACAGGTTTTGGTTTGCCTGCTGACTCTATACTTACTTGATGCTACAGCTGCCACTGATGAGTACGCTGGATGGACATAGCTAGAAGAACCTATGAAACAAGTAAAACGAATCCTCACTATAGAGAAGGGAAACAGTTTATGTATAAAAATAACAGCCTGTAAAACAAGGGATCAGGTGATGGGGGGAAATGGCCAAAGCAAGTTGTTTTTTTGAAGAGTAATTGTTTAAATATTTACAAATGACATTTCCATCCAAGTCATCACATCACATCCATCCAAAGTGATGAATAGAAATATGACCAAGAAAACACGACAGTACAGTATAAATGTTGCATATGTTGCACCATGAGCCTATATCCAATTGTTAGTCCCAACTGGAGTATACCCAACCGGAATCTGTGAAGCATACACATGTTGAGTTGGCAACTTCTTGTTCATTCAGCAAGTCTTTGCTAGTTGAATGAACAACTGGGTTTATGCCATACTCTTCTTTGCTATGTGCTTACAGTGGTGCAACAGGTGGCTAATAGGAAAAATAAGCCTCCATGTGTTGGATGGCTGCATGGAGAGAGTTTGTTTGAACAATTATGAGATTACTATTCTATGAATTAGAGACAGGTACAAGCCACTAGTTCGGCAGTTTGTGCCAGCTCGGGCTTCCGCCCAAAAGGTGTGCCATGGTTCCGATGCAGTTCCAAGCCCTGCCTCCTCTAATGGATGTCCACTCAGAGGCAGTGCTCGAAGGAGGCAGGGCAGGGCAACTGGGGCAACTGCTGAACTGGTGATTCATGCCCATGTTTAATATGAACTATGCTTAATACTCAGTCTCTAAGCCTCTTCTGAAGTGCTCAGCATATCAGTGAGACACAGAAGAATCAGATGGTTCAACCACTATCACCCGTTCCATGCTACTCACCTATATCTCTGACCTTGTGCATTGCAACCTGAGGCTTTGCAGCTGCAACAGTAGTCATTTGGGTGGTGACAGTCGTAGTAATGGTGGTTGGGACTGTTGGTTTTGGGGTTGTGCTGACAAATGAGGTTGTCGTGATGAGACGTTTTGGTGTTGTTGTAGCAGTGTGTGTTGCAAGAAATGGTGTTACGGCAGTTGTCTGATACTCCTTCCTTTGGGAACCTCCTATATCAGTATTTAAAGGAATATATGATAAGCTATATGAAGAAATATTCAAAACCATGGGTTGGATTAGAATAAAAGTGCCCCTGACAAGGACATTGAGATGTTTGGGATATTTGACTTAGCCCTTAGTCCTGGCAAAGTCAGTGGCTGTATGTGACAGCCAGCATCTCCATGAGGTTTATTGAAACTTGGGGGGATGGGGGACAACAGGCTCAGGAGCTTGCTCCACTCCTACAGTTCTCACTAGAGGCAAAGTTAGCAGCACTTGTCCTTGCAGAGTTTCAGTCCAGTTTGGGCCCCTAGTTAACTCTACTGGGGCCCACGAGTCCTTAGTTTCCTTCGAAAGAGGTATCCATGGGGATACAAAGGTGGCAACTTGCAGGAGAGAGATTTTATAATCCTGCAGCCCAGACAAGGCCATTGTGAGTACTGGTGGCAGTGCCTGCTATTGCAGCTGGAGGCACCATTGCTGTCTCTATTTTGGGTGGGTGGGGGAGATTTATTTTCTGCCTCTAACATTGCCTCTGGCTGGGACTGAGGCTAGCTTGCCCTGCACAAGTTTCGGTGTCTGTCCCAGTATGGAGGCTGGAAGCAGCAAGAAGTGTGAGCTTTCTTAGGCTGGATGGACTCACAGCAGATGTAGTCTTAGTCCTCATCACAGCCTCACGTCTCCTCAATACTCAGGGCTTCTCTCCACTCCTGTCTTGCATCACCTCATACAGCTTCCTCCTCTAGGTTGGAGGATTCCTCTGCTGTGTGCAGGTGTTCCTCATCTCCCTCCAGACCTTATTTGCCTACTCTGGGACTTCTTTTATGGCCCCCAGTTGCAGAGTAGCTTCATCCCTCTTGCCCTTTGCTGTGGCCTCCTCCCGCTCCCAAGCCAATTGCTCCTGCCCTGCGTGTGTCTTAGACTCAGCAACCACCAGGTCTAACGACCCTGCCAGGATGCTTGGGGTGGGGGCTGATGGCTCGCCAGAAATGCCAGCAGTGACCCCTCCTCACACATACACACACATATGGAAGGATAACACACACACACATGTATGGCCATTGCAACAGAAAAATCAATCACTTGCCTTTCCCAGATGTACTTTTGGAAGATGCGTATTCAAGAGTTGAGGGGTACTGAACCCCTTTCTTAGGTTTACCTTCTATACAAAACAAAACAAGCTGGATGAGACCTTGCAATAAAAGGACATACATTTTAAAACCAAAACCAATTCTAGAGTTGAAGTAAACTTTTAAAAGTGTGGCCACATGGAAGGTTGTTCTCAGAGTTGGTGCAAACTTTTCTGTTCTACACTTTGGTACTCAGATCACTGCCATCGTTCACACAGAAATACTTGATTCTTAGAAAAGTGTGTTTCAAAAGTGCACACAGCGGCCACTTCATCTTTCTCTGCCATTATCACCGCTCTTTTGCCCACTTCTTTCACTTGCATCCAAATACCATTAAAAAAATATATTTTGCTAGTGTAATAGCACTGAATTGAGAAGACACAGAAGACATTGGAATGAGTATGGTCTCAGTTTCACACTATAGTCACAGTACTAAGCAAGGAGAAATAGGTATATTATATATACAGTTTGCAAATTGCACTACAATAGTAGTCCTTACCAATGCAAGCAAAAGGCAGGCAAATGGAGTAGGGTTCACTCCCATACGCCACCCCAGTGCATTTAAACCCCTCAGTTTTGGTGAATTTTATGTAACTCTGAAATGGATGGTCCATTTAAATCCAACTGCCAACTGCCTAAGGTGAAACAACTAGTTCAATAAACAATGAAGCAAGAGAGCCTAATGGAATTGGATCTTGCTTGGTCTTCAGTGCAACATCTCTAAGGTAATGGCATGGGTTTTTCCTTTCAGCAAAGGAAAGTCTATCAGCTTTAGTAATACACCAAAACAGAATCCTTTAAAAAAAATAACTACACCAAAAAACAACAACCAAACATACACAATAGATATATTGTTATATTTGGATGGGAAAACTCAGTACTTTAAATGCTGCTTGAAAAACAGAGCAGATGGAGCGAATCTTTGTAAAATCCCTAAAACTTCAAGAAATGGAGAGCAGACCGTGCTGCACAATCATGGCACTGATAGAGAGCTCTCGCAGATCTGAATGGAGTCACTCATTTATACACAATTCAAAACATTTTAGGATTCTGAAAAGGGAGTACCAGCCAATTTGGGTACCTCCTAGCACACTCATCGTTTCAGTTCCTGTAACCTTGCCCTTCACCCTTTGCATTGTCTCATTAATTATTTCAGGAAGGTGTATTCCAAGTGTCCCCAGGTCACACACCCTCCCTTCTCTCTCACCTTTTTCTGGCATCATCATCACCTCTCACTCATCCCTTTCAAGTCTCTTCACCTTTTTTTATGTTTGGCAAGTGAAATAGTGCTGAACTGACAAGCCCCAATAAGCATTTGAATAGTAAGTTATATCTAGATTTAAACACACATACAACTTACAATCCACACCATAACCCACTCTGTGCTTCTTCAGTGATATCATCTAGACATGCTTCGCAACACCACTCTAAAGAACAGGTCTAAATGATCACAAGCCAAAAGCTAGATCAACTAACGCAACAGAAAACACCAAAACAAACCTCATGCCCTGCTGGCCAAACAAAATGTACCACATACTTATGCCAAAAGATTGGCTCAACTTATGAGTACCACTAATGTTGTCTAGTCGATGGACTGTATTGAGAAACAACAAATACCTGACCAGTCAGTTCCTTAGTCTTCACTTAGACAGGGGAGCCTGGAGAAGTTAGGCGAGATGCCACCTGTATGAGCATCCTACTGGTTTTACTGTTTTTAAATTTGTAATGCTGCCCAGAGTAGACCTTTGGTCTAGATGGGCAGGGTATAAATCAAATAAAGTCAAATCAATAAAATTAATGATACACATTTCCTTTATAGGAGGATGACTGAATCCTCACACTCTTCTCATCTCAAATTTCTAATTCAGGAAGCTCAGAAGTGACTGCCTCTTTGTTCTAGTGACAGTTTCCCTCAGAAATTATTTGATCAGATCCATAGATGTGGGAAGAACTCTAAATTGCAGACAGTTCAGTTGCCAAAGCCCTGGCCTTCCATATTTCTTTACTATGAGAACACTGCCTCCTTAAGCTTTGCTGTTTCGTCCCTGACTTTGTCTGAATTATATGGAAATTTCTTGGAAAGCAAAGCTTTTCCAAATAGTCCCATAAATCAATGCTATCTAAGCAATAACCATTCAGGCATTTCTTCTCCATGCTTATGGCCAATTATACATTAGTGGTATTTTTTAAAAATTAAATAAAACATAATTAAAAATGAACATATGGATGACTGGATGGATGAAAAGTATAGCATTACCTGAAACAATGAAGGACTCCCTCCATCGCGGTAAAGACAGTGATCGGATTCCATTGGAGAAACTACCCCTGTAACCTGATTGTCCAGCAACTTTTTGAACCAGGATTTTCCCTCCAGATTTGTTAATTGTACCACTGCAAAGTAATGCATTCAAATCAATTCCAACATCAATGCTGAGTTATGAGATTGCCACAACCTGAGTTTGGTGGATGTAAGCAAACCAGGAAGCCTGGTTGTAATTAATGTGACTTTTTGTTATTTTGTAAGAAGAAATAATATATGATTTCATTAGGTGCAACAAGCTTAGAGTATGTTTCACCGTTCAAAACAACTGGCAAGAGGAGAACTAAGAGTTACTTGAGCTTCCTCCCCCTCTTCTTTGTTTTTTTTAAAGACCCTGCACCCCTTCAAGAAAAAAAATCCCAATGATTCAATAAAACCAAGGAAATGAGCTTGGAGATTTGCTTTGTGAAAATCAAGACATACTGGCTGAAATCCAATAGTATGTTCTAAGTAGAGTAGCCCCTCTGAATCAGTGGAATTTACAGAGGAATTTACTGACCAAATTCTCACTGTTCAATGAGCCTATGGTTGTTCTGACTCACTACTGGATTCCGGTCACTGATAATCTCCATAAGTAGGAAGAAATGGGACAATGCTTTTGACTCTCTACAGGATGTATGGAAAAGTTCTGTCCAGTGATATATGGATATTTTGCCTTCAGAGCTGGCACAAGTCTGGGTTCACCTACTGGTAATTCTTTTTATTGTGTCTGTTTTTATCCCCAAAAGCCTATTTCTGCAATTAAATGGGAAACTTGTAAAATGCTCTGTCTCATGTTAGCTGTCAAGAGGAGCAAAATGAAAGGATTTTTAGCCTTGAGTGACTGGCTGTAGCACTGTCACATTTGTAGACTCTTTCCTCCATACCCTGTGAGTTTTTAACCTCTTTCCCTTTCGTTCTACACACGGTCGAAGACTGAAGGGCAGTCCTGCCAACCTGTGAATAGCAGCGCCGCATATACTGGAAAAAGAAGCATAGATATCAGTGCCGTAGACTCGATATTTCACATCCTGACATCCTGGGGGACACTTGGCAATAAATTCAGGATTGAGGATCTTCGCAGCTTTCACATCACAATCCAACTGAGGGACATCTGCAAACACATAGGTTAGAAATTATTTTCAGTCTTAGTGTTCTTACAGTACACAAAGGATACTAGAGTGTTATAAGCCCAACTGGCCATTCCTAAGCATTTCTGCCATTTTTTTTAACCTTACTACTTAACAGTTATATTATATACATTTTAGATAGAGGAACTTCAGCTCCAATGTTCGCTGTAGGATTTGTGTGTTTATAGGGACATGGTGGTGCTGTGAGTTAAATCGCAGAAGCCTCTGTGCTGCAAGGTCAGAAAACCAGCAGTCGCAAGATCGAATCCACATGACGGAGTGAGCTCCCGTCGCTTGTCCAAGCTCCTGCCAACCTAGCAGTTCGAAAGCATGTAAATGCAAGTAGATAAACAGGTACCAGCTCGGTAGGAAGGTAACGGTGTTCCGTGTCTAAGTCGCACTGGCCATGTGACCATGGAAACTGTCTTGCTGGCTCTATGGCTTGGAAATGGGGATGAGCACCATGCCCTAGAGTCGGACACAACTGGACTAAATGTCAAGGGGAACCTTTAGCTTTACCTATCACAGCATATTCCTGCAGTGCATTGAAAATGAATTTGATGTGTGCTGATCTGCTGTGACCACAGAATCCACACACATGTGAATGCATGTTTCCCCCTCTTCCATCCAGGCATACATATCTTTGACATCTAATGCCTGAGAAGTCTGACATGCAAATGAAACCATACCTATCTTTACAAGAAAAGTTAGTTTGTGGATTAAGACAACTTGATTCTAAGCCTTTTCTCTCTTAAGGAAGCTCTGCTCCTAATGACATGTCAACTACAGTGGGGTCTCTACTTAAGAAGGTCCCTACTTAAAAACAATTCCACTTAAGAACAGCTCCATTTGCTAAATTTTGCTTCTACTTGAGAACAAAAATCCAGATAAGAACAGGAAAAAAAAACTTTCCTGCTCTTTTTTTAACCTTAGGTCATCTTAGGTTAAAAAAAAGTTCTCCCCCGAGTGGTAGAGTATGTATTAACCAGCTTTGCATTAGTTCCTATGGGAACTAATGCTTCAATGTACGGACGCACCTCTACATAAAAAAAACAGCCAGAATGGATTAATTGGTTTTCAGTCCATTGCTTCAAAATTAGTCTAGTCAGAAGTGCTTTTAACACTGTTCCCTGACCTAAGGGGAAAAAAAGAAAAAAATCCCGCTCTAGTGGTAGAAGGCGGAATAGCAGCTTCCCATTAGTTTCTATGGACGGAAAAGAGCAGATACGGATTAAATGGTTTTCAATGCATTCCTATGGGAAATGCAGATTCTACATAAGAACTTTTCCACTTGAGAACCACCTTCCAATACGGATTAAGTTCTTAAGTAGAGACCCCACTGTATATCATTGGGTTCTGTCTTTGGCTCTCACACAGGACTATGGTTCTGGATGACTGACTGAAACTAGAACTGGAGGTATCTCAGAGTTGTATCTGACTAGAAAAATGGTTGCACCTTGACCCTCAACTGTATTTAGATACATGAACATGAACCTGAATCACCACTTCACACGTTACAGTTTTTGTCTAGTTGCTATAATTTTATTTTGAAAAGAATAGTCTGTTGTACAATTTTTTCAGACATGTTGTTTGTCTAATTATCCTGTTAGCTCTTAAATCTGTGGAGGTCAGATATTGCAAAACAAGCATGTAGGACACTAACCTGTATATGTGAGCAAGAGAGAAAGATTGTGTGTGTGTGTGTGTGAGAGAGAGCAATCTCTTGATATGATGCTTGGAATGAGAACTGGGTTGTTCCAAATATCATGCTGAACATAATGTACATAAATAGAAATGTGCTCTATGCAATATTTGTATGAAATAGTTGAAGTATAGTTTCTACAGTTTCTGAATGACCAAAAGCAGGACCAAAGCAGAGATGACGCTTTCAGGAGAGCTCAAGTCCCTCCTCATAGACCAGATATGTTCATCACGTTACTTACACAACTTGGCCTTTTTATTCTTCTTTGCAGCTTCTCTAGTTGCATATACGCAAGTCAGCAACAAAGCTATAATAGAGAAGAAAGTGAGGAAAATACACATCTTACAACTGCATTATTTTCTACTTTCCTCATGAAGATATACCCTCTTGTATGAAGTTGAAAAAATAGATTTTTTCTCTGGAATTCACAAGCTGAAATCCTGTTTTGCAGTTATAATAATAATAATAATAATTTATTGTCATTGTAAGTATATACACAGTATACAGTACCCATAGAACGAAATTCACAATTATGCGAATGACAGTATATTTAGACACCAATTGCCTTCAGCTAAGAAATCTGCATAGACATTATCTGCTGCACATCAAGTCACCCAGCTCAATACCCAATAAGTGTTATCTGCGGAGAGTTCTTGATCTACAGTAATTCATGCCTAAATGTTACACCATTTGCATGACAGCACAACAGCATTTCAGCCACAGTGTAGTCCTATGCACGTCTACTAAGAAGTGAGCACCAAGGAATTCAATAGTGTTAATCCTCAGATAACTGTACAGTATATGGGGCTCCAAAGCCAAGTTGATCGTTTATAATTTTCTTAAATTATCTAAATCAAATGTTCTGATTTTTTTTATCAATACTGATATTGTAGCTGTAGAAATAAACCAGGGACAAACCATGGTTTGGGACCCGGATGTAAGAATTCATTACACTGACAGAGTGATAGACTAGGACTGAATTATAAAACTATTCTTCAAGTATCTCACATACCTGAGAAACACTATTAGGGTCACTAGAAGTCACATGCAACTTGATGGCAGATAACACATATAAAAATTCATTAATTTTAAAAACTAACATTCCAGAAATTGGGGTTGGGGGGCAGGCCACTAACTGTTTGCAGCAATTGTGCCTTGTGTAAAAAAAAGGCACAATTCAACAAACTGCTTGAGGACTTACTGTTACATGAAAACTCAAGCAGATCCAGAACCAATCTCCCTACACTGATGGAACACCTGTAACTTGACCTTAGTCTATGGAATTGGGCAGACTGTACGAAAAAATACACAAATTAATGCAAAATCGTAAAGCATTGTGCCTCCTTGACAGAGGCTGGACTTGATTATCCATAGGGTCCTTTCCACCTCTGCGGTTCTAAGACTATTATTAAAATATTATGCATCTCACTTGATTACTTACCAGAGACTACTGCAGTAGGTATTGTTGCCTTCATATTGAAACAGATTAAGTCCAGGAATTTTAATAGGACTGTAAAGTAAGCATTCAATATTTTCACCTTTAATACAACAAGTTCATCTTCAAATATCTATACTATCAGTCATTTTAGAGCCATGCTTAGCTGTATTAACTGTTAAAGATACAAGCTATCTGTACTCAGACCCAGTTTTTTCGTCATCAACATATGGCAATTTAATACCTGCCATACATTGACAAACACAACTCTCGTTTTAATTTAGCCTAACCACAATGCTTAAAAATGGAACCAGTGTACACAAATCATCTGCAAATCAACAACAAATACAGGACAGACAACAGCTGAATTCTTTGTTTGTGCAATTAAGCCTGCAGAAGGTCAATGAGTCATCAACAGAGGGGCAATTTTTAGAAATTAAACACTTTCTGGCTCTGTCCATGGCTCCCACATAATAGCTTTCATCATTTGGAAACCGTGGGAGCCATGGGACTGGAAAAGGAAGTCTTCAATTACCAAAAATTGCCACTGCCAGGGTGAAATTATAACTTCCAAATGGTGAAAAGGATTACATGGGAGCCCTGGGACAGAGAAAAGAAATGTTTAATTTCTGAAAATTGCTCCTTGCTGACGCATTCTGCAGGTATAGCTGTGCAAATAGGATTTTATCCATCATAAATTCAAATTAAATAACACACTTGGCATTATGAAGATGTGGTACTCCCTTAAGTTGTGAGAGGCAACTGAAGGGAGTACCAAAGCTTTTCCACACCTCCTGATCTTGCATTTCTGCAGGCTTCATTTTGCAGTTGATCTTCAAAGTAAATATAAGCTCAATTGAAGTCTAACTGCTAGGGCACACATCTGTGTGGAAATCCCGTTGTCTGTGCTAATCACACAACAGTTCTTCTAATAATGTGCTAAGGGTATCGTTTTTTAGCTTGACCCCAGTTTATAGAGTTAACTGTTGCTGGTTCAGCATGCCTTAAATGTGTAGATTGTGTGAGACTGGCATTCTGATTCAAATCCCTGAAGACCCACAAAACCACTCATATGAAACTCCTTAAAGCCTAGAACAGTAGCCACTTTGAATAGCAGTCACACAATCAGATCTCTCTTTGGAAGGGGATTTCATTTAAAAAAAGAAACAAATATAATCCTTTCTTTCTTCCTTCAAAAAATAATATTGAGAAGTCTTTTTACGTTTGAAAGAAAACAACTAGATCAAACCACACCTAGACTGCAGAATGCTGTCCTTTTAAATTACACCATTATTGGCAGACTGACCTTTATAATGCCCTTTGATGGAGCTGCAGGATAAAAGACCTGCTACCAATGAACTGCTTAATCATAGTCCTCAGGAATAGTTTAGGCACGGCTAATCCTATGTTTTTAAATGGAAGTGCTGGTTTTCAGTGTTTGATTTCCGCTTCTGGATTACATGTGCAAGCAGAAATTCTTTGCATTATATGATTATCTGGAGAGCGTAAGCAGTTTATTGTCACTAATCTCCTGGAAAAGTCAAATGTGAACCTTTGTCCTCTGGCTCTCAATGGACCAGTAACACAAGTTCTATTCAGACCTGATTAAAAATGTCTGCTCCCCATATGCGCTAAGGGGAGCATTATTTCTGTTGTTGTTTTCAACATGCTAAAGTGACTATGTAAAACCACAATGTTCTCTCTCTCTCTCATTCTCACACACACACACAAATGAGGGTCTGGCTCATGTGATGAGGACACACAGAAAAAGCACACGGCAGACTGTTTGCTATTACCTGTTGAAATCAGGAACAGAGAGGATGGGGCTCATGGAGATAAGTATAATTTTTATAGTCTCTACATTGAGTTCAGGGCAACATACTGGACTCTCCTTCTCTTCCTCTTCCCCATTTTTTTCCTCACAACAACCCTGTGAGGTAGGTTAGGAATGAGGGTCTGGCTCATGTGATGAGGACACACAGGAAAAGCACACGGCGGACTGTTTGCTATTACCTGTTCAAATCAGGAACAGAGAGGATGGGGCTCATGGAGTGATAAGAATGTGGAGTAATCAGAAATTATGATTGAACAAGGCTATGGTTTGCTGGAGTAAAAACATTACAGCAAGGTACTTTGAGGAAGTGGTTTATGGGAATCATTATTAAGAGACTGACTAGCCAAAATCATCCAGCATGTTTTACAGTTCAGTGGTTATTTGAAGTCGGATCTTCCAAGTCTTGTCCAGTGCGCTAACCCATGGGACCATACTGGATATTTATATGGCTAGTAGATTTCATTCAGCAAGGCTGATCACTAGCTGTATAGGCCAGTCCTATTTTTCTGAAATAAACTGTGGGTTGTTGTTGTTGACCAGTAAGTTGTTGAGTTGTCAAATATTGAGCAGTGAATGACACATGACTACTCATTTCAAGACAGCAATTTTTCCTCATTTTTAAGGAGGACTGAAGGAGCTCTTCATTTTCAACCCAACTGGCAAAATGGGCCTTCCACCAATTACTTAACTAAAATGTTAATGGATTACTTTGCTGCTGAGATTGATTAAGATATGTAGACTTGGTGAAGAGCACATTTAAATTAAACTACATTTTAATATTTATAAGAAATTATTTTTCCTTTTCCACCAGTTTATCACCTCAGGGTGAAACCAACAGATGCAGAGCCAGCGACACAGCAGATGAGATACCTTCCCCTTCCTCCCTCCTCCGCTTTCCATCCTCTGATTCTGCTTCATGTAGCTACAGTTTGTCATTATGCCTAAATCAGCTAACCTATGATTTAAGTCACTTATATAAATCACAGTTGGCTGCAAAAGCAGCATTGGAACCCTATTTCAAACGGTGGTTTCCACTTCTGGTTGTATGTAACTACGTATATCCTATGGCGACCGCACTCTTCCTGTTTAGGTTTAGTGACAAATATTGTGGATGAGGAAGGGAGGAGGGAGGAGAAACAGATATACGTACAGAGGCAGGAAAGTGGGAAAGAAGGAGTGTGCAAGCCTGAGGTAAAGTCCAATGGGCACAAACCAAGCAAAACAGTTTGGTCATGATGGCCAGACTAGGTAATCAAAGTATAGTTATAACAAATTCCTCATTTGCAGACTGAGTCTAGCTCGAGCCTGATGTGAAAAATGTGTATTCCACATTTGTTTTATTTACCTCTTGCATCATACTATTAGCATATTTTAGATAATGTGTACTATAAATCACAGTCTGTAGAGTTGGACTAACTGTCTCTTTAGCGGCTTAACCTCTTTTCTCACAAGACAGATTGGCCAACCAACTTTTCCCAAGCATTATTTTAAAAAGGGGTGCACGATGTTTTGTTGATACATTCATCGTTCACCTTCCAATTTCTTTCCTAAAATATATTTTGAGAATAGTTGCACAGCTGCTGTGGGGATTTGGGGAGTTGGCAGTCAACTCAAAGCCTCCACTGATGATTTTCATTACTTGGGCTGTGGCATGCTAAAGACTTGCCAGACCAATCCATTGCAGAGATCGTCTCAAAGTGGAAATATGTTTTTCTGTTCCTCTTTGTTACAGTGGTATGTTTGCCTTCACATGCTCACATGTGGTGTATCAATGTGTGTGTGTGTGCGCACGCACGCACGCACGCACGCACGCACGCACACACACACACACACACACACACACACACACACACACAGGTTTTTAGCTTGACAGTGCAGGCTTTCTCTGTGCTACCAATGGATGGGTGGCCATGGTTTCCTGGATGTTCCTGAAGCTTTCTTTTGTGCCCATAGATTACACCACAGGAATCATGGATCCATCAGTGTATGGCTTTGCTGTATTGCAAAAACATTGATCAAAGACAGACATCTTCATGGATCCACATTCAGCCAATTCAGCAAGGCATTAAGTAAAATGTAACTAACATCTCCAGCTTATCTGAAATAGTGCTGTATCATTAGGGAATTTTTTTAATCCAAAGAGGAGCAGAAAAATACAATTTAAAAGATCATTTCTCACATTCCATTTCAATGCCATGACCCACCTATTACAAGACAGGGTTGTCACCACAGCTAATACTGCCTCTAATGCCATTTTGATGAAAATAACTGTCCATAAAGCTATTTTAAATCTCACTGAACCATGCCAAAAAGAATGCATACCCTACCTCTGGGCCAGAAAGGTATGGGACAGCTCTTAAAGGGGAAGGATGAAACGTGTGCAGAAAGTTTTTTTCCCCAATCCAAACCGTGCCATCAGTCTGTTATATGCCACAGCTATGTCAGAATGGACAGGCTTTCAGTCCATGCCACCAATGGATGGATGGTCATGCCTTCTTTGTGTATCTGAAGCTTTCTTTCAAACTTCTGACTCTATTCCGTTTTGTAATAAACCATAGATCCTGGAACAGGGGTGGTTGGGTAAGTGTGTGTGTGTACGTGTGTTGTGCTGAAGTTATTTCTAAAAATAGGCTAGAATGAGTTGTGTCCCCACCTCAAAAATGTTAAACAGAATTTGACCAAGACTCCTGTGCTAGTTGAAGTGTGTTAAAAACAATCCAGCACAAACAAGACCATAAACACTCCTATTGTAGTTTGGCTTTCCTAGAAGTACAGCTGGGTGGGGAATCCTAAGAGAAATCAAGGCTGCAATTGATTCTGCAATTGATTCCCTGCAAGGCTGCAATTGATTCCCTGCACGGGGCTAAATCCCACTTTAACCAGTGACAAGGAGCTCACTGAAGACACATTGTGCTTGTAAATATGTTTATAGTCAAGGGTTTCTTGACTACAATTTCCCCAATTTTATATCCCCTCTTCCAAATCTACAGTACATCAATATTTTGTTCCAGTATGGTGCTGTTTTGGGCTACACATCCCAAGTCCCATGTTGCCACACTATGACTGGAACTCTACCTTCATAATAATCTAGATAAAATATATTTACACCACTCTTTTCTTTGTTTTAATCCGTTGCATGTAGACGTGCACATTGCTGCTGGGGGCATGTTGGGAGCAGGGTGCTACATCACATGATGGAAATGTCACAGACCTTCTCCCAGACCTTGAGGAAGACAGAGAG